GCCAATGGCCACGTTCCACATTAAGGTTGGGGGGCATTTTGTGCGAATTGGGTTTGAAAAACCCATTTTGGCGACCAACCTTAATGACATTGGTGGCCATTGGCAAAAAAGCCGTGGCCATTGGCAACTTTCCCGTGGCCATTGGCGAATTTGCCAATGGCCACGGCTTTTTTGCCAATGGCCACGGCTTTTTTGCCAATGGCCACGGCTTTTTTGCCAATGGCCACGTTCCCCATTAAGGTTTAAATTATTATATGATAGAGAGAGTTAAGGGTTTGGGGTTGTAAGGGTGAACATGATGGCGCCTTCCACGGCTTCAGCCAAGGAATGAAGTGCTGACGGGCCGCCGCCCTGGTCAAGATCTGGGGATGAGGGGGTTTAGGGTTTAGGGTTTAGGGTTTAGGGTTTAGGCAGGGTTTAAGGTTTAGGCTTTAGAGTTTAGGGTTTGGGGTTGAGGGCGTACTTGGAGGTTCCGTGCACTTATCAAACAATTATGACAACTGTACTATGACAAACCCCTCTTACAAGCCCCGTAAGTGCCCCAACATAGTTTATGATTGGGTTCTGTTGTAAGTGCAGCGATTCTTGGGTTGATAAGTACCCTGAACCTCCAAGTATCTGTTGAGCGGTAGAAGGAGGGACCCCTAGGAGGGACCCTTAATCTTATTCCCCTATATAACCCCCTATATATACACACATGTACAAAATATACATGTACATGTACATATACATATACATGTACATGTACATTTACATACATGCATACATACATACATACATGCCTTAAGAAGTTCCTGTATACCCTAGTAGCCCCCAAACAGGTCCCCCATAAGGGTCCATCGCTTCCCCCCCACCCCCCACCCACCCACCCAGTCCCCCGAATCCACCGTAGCTTGGCAGCTCAGTGGTGGTACCCTTCGACCTTTTCCTTGGTTCTGGACTTTCTTATACAGTTGCCAACCCCAAAAAAGGGTGCCCTTGTTTTGAATATGGTTCCTGGGCAACCAAGGCAGGTTCCCCGCGTTCCGTCTTCCCATTTTCCGGGCGCTGAACCCCAAGCCCCAAGCCCAACACCCTAAGCCGTAAGCCCAAAGCCTATACCTTAAACCCCAAAGCCTAAAGCCTAAACCTGCCCACCCATAGACAAGAAGGCATCCTACGCCCCCCTACAAAAGCCCCTCGGAGGCCGGAAGTTGTCCAACAAGTCCATGTCGTCTCTCACCTTCAAGCTGCCCAGCAGATCGCAGAAGTTCGGGCTCGTCGCCGCTTGGATTTTTTTTTTTTTTTTTTTTTTGACTGGAGGGGGGGGGGGGGTATCTTTGAGGGACTCTGAAAACCCTAACCCTACACCCCATAGAGTTTTGGCTTTAGGGTTTGGGGTTTGGGGTTTAGGGTTTAGGTTTTCGGGGGGGTTCAGGGTTTTCGGGTTTAGGGTGTAGGGACACCCAAGGTTCCCGAATACTCCCCACTACTCCCTCAGGGTCCCTAAGCTTTCCTAAAGTTCCCCAGTTTAGGGTTTAGGGTTTAGGGTTTAGGGTTTAGGGTTTAGGAGGTGCTCATCCCCGTGAAACCTAGAATTCTCTGTTTATATATGGGTACGCCCGTGGGGCGAGGCTTTAGGCTTTAGGCTTCAGGCTTCCGGCTTCAGGCTTCAGGCTTCAGGCTTCAGGCTTCAGGCTTCAGGCTTTAGGCTTTAGGCTTTAGGCTTTAGGCTTTAGGGTCTAGGGTCTAGGGTCTAGGGTCTAGGGCCTAGGGCCTAGGGCCTAGCGTCTAGGCTCAGGGTCTAGGGTCTAGGGTCTAGGGTTTAGGGTTTAGGGTTTTGGTCCCTGAAAGAAGTGGTTCCCTAAATCAGAGTCCCTTTTGGGGGTTCCGTTTTTTAGGGGCCGCACTGTAAACCTCAATGGGCTATGAATAAGAGACTTTCATTCTTGTTCTCAGGGGAGTGTAGAAGTCATTTGAGGTGTACTATACCACCCAACTCCCCCAGTACAGGAAGGCGGTGGGTAGAGCGTGCCTCCTGCTCTTGCGGGCACGCGGCAAGACTACCCGAACCTCCTAAATTTCAAGCCCTTACCAACCCTCCAAACCCAAAACTGAACCCTAAACCCTAAACCCTAAACCCTAAACCCTAAACCCTAAACCCTAAACCCTAAACCCCGAAATTTTCAAAGCGCCCTCACACCCCAACTCTGAGGCGAACTCGGTGGGCATCGCTTTTTTTGAGGATCGTCCCGACGACGAGGAGACAGGCCCGGGTCCGGATGCGAGAGTCTTTGGGCTTTAGTTTTTTTTGTTTATGGTTTTAGGGTGTTAGGGTTTTAGGGTTTTAGGGTTTTAGGGTTTTAGGGTTTTAGGGTTTTAGGGTTTTAGGGTTTAGGGTTTTAGGGTTTCAGGGTTTTAGGGTTTTAGGGTTTTAGGGTTTTAGGGTTTTAGGGTTTTAAGGGTTTTTTGAGGGTTTGTAAACCCTCAAACCACCCTAAGACCCCAAAGTCCTAGAACCCCAAACCCTATTTAGGTTTAGGGTTCCAGGATTTTAGGGTCTTAGGGTGGTGGGGTTTGGGGGTGGGATGGGGGACTGCAGGGTTGTTGTACAGCTTCTTTTGGGTTTACCCGAAGAGCCCGAATTGCTTCGGGCTGAGGGTTTAGGGTTTGAGGGGTTTCAGGGAGGTTTTAAGGGTTTTGGGAGGGCTGGGTGTTTTAGGGGTTTAGGGTGAAGAGTTTAATCGGGGGTTTTAGGGGTTTAGGCTTAAGGTTTTCAGGGTTTTGGGGGTTTGGGGTTTTTGTTGGCGTCCTAGGGTGTTTGAGGGTTTAGTGTGTTTGGCTTCAGGGCGGTTTAGCGTCGTTATATTCCAGAGTACGTAGAGCATGCTCAAGGCGGTTTAAAGTGAAGTTTTAGGGCCTAAGGGCTTTGGCACTAGGAGTTTAGGTGTTTATGGTTTGGGCTTTGGAGTAGGGGTTTCAGGGGCTTTAAGGAGATTAGGGTTCAGGGTTTTTGAGATGTCTAGGTTTAACAGACGT